AGTGAAGTCAGCCAAACGCAAATATTGGACAAAGCAAGTCGAAGCAGCAGAAATAGAGGCACAAGTGTTCAAACTCATGCGATGGGCCAAACCAAAGCCGACGAAATAGCCTCCTCCTCTTCAGGAATCACCAAACCAGTGGCTTTCAGATCCATTCGAGCGGACAATCGCACTGCGTGATTCCCTTCTGGGAAGATTCGACACTAGAAGCGATGTAGAAACATGGGAGAATGGTCAACCAGAGTCTATCCCATGGAACGGAGAGGTCTCATTGGAAGAAGTTACAGCGTCAACCATTGCGAGTAAAGAAACGGCTCCAGGATATGACAAAATCACCGTCTGACTACTCAAGGCTTGCTGGAGCTCGATTGGAACATATGTCAGGGACCTCTTTCAGGCATGTTTGAACTTGGAATATTTTCCAACACCTTTCAAGGTGACGAAAGTTTTATGTCACAGACCAAGGGCCTATTCTGAGTCAATAGGAACTCTGTGCGAAGATATCTGAGGTATTCTGCCATATTCTATCCCAATCTGTTCTATTCTGATCTGTACTTGTCTAGACTATTCTATTCTGTATGAGAGTATACTGGAAAGTTCGAGAACAAAAGAGAAGAATATATAATTGGTAATTGGGATGACTATGGTTTGGCAGATTATGGTCTTGTATCTTAGGAACCTTTTTGTTGGAAATGGAGACACGGAGTGTTGTGGACGTATGGGCCCTCCATTTCGTCTAGGTTCCCGACACGATCTCGTGTGTATTTAAGAGGTTGGAACAGGTAATATGGTAGCGCTTCAGGCTACCTATTGGACATATGAGCGGCTGTATGGCGTGGGCGCAAGGAGGTTATTGAGGGTTTTCTATGCCTAGATGGCGCCACACTTGTTTATGCTGTGGCTTAGGCTCTGTGTCGCTTACACTTGTACTCGTAGCGCACACTTCCCACACTTTTAGCTGTAATCCGAACATGACACTCTTTTAGTCAACTTCTACTTTCGTTCCATGAATATTGCGCCCATTACATTGCGCGATATTTCCAACACTTTTTGATAATCTTGAATACCTTTGCAAATTGATCTATTGAACACCTGAACTCTTGACCTTTTTGCATCTTGAACCATTGACTTCACAAATTACTGATTCTCCGAAGTACTCCTGCTGTTGACATTGTACTACTTCCTAAAATTGAATGCGATCTCTCCAGTCCAAAAGGATGGCGACCCATATTATTACTCTCCATCTTAGGCAAGGGACTAGAAAGGCTTATAGCCAAACAGATATCCTGGCTTGTGCTTAAGTACAAGGCAGTACCTTCTCAACTATTCGGCGCGCTGCCAGGACGCTCAGCAGTCGACCTGATATTGTGTGTCACACACGATGCAGAAGCTGCAATAAGATCCAATAAAGTCACAGCTATGGTCACGCTAGACATTCAAGGTGCTGTTGTGACGGCTGTCACGGACTAAGGACTTATTCTGAGTCAATAGGAAGTATGTACGAAGATATCTGTTCTTTTCTGTTCTATTCTATCTTACTCTATTCCATTCCATTCTAATCTGTACTGTTCTATTCTGTACTTGTCTAGACTATTCTATTCTGTGTGAGAGTATACTGGAAAGATCGAGAACAGTAGAGAGGAATTGGGAGTAATATATAATGGGTAATTGGGAGGACTTGGGTTCGGCAGATTATGGTCTTGTATTCTTAGGAACTCTTTAGTAATTATTGAATCTTATGTTGAACTCTTGAACTATCGAACTCTTAAATTATTAGACCTTCGGAATGAGAACTCCTCTCGTACTCTTGACAACGGCTGGTATGCCGGAAATGACCTGTAGCCAGCGCTGTCTAACACAGGCTTAGCGCAAGACAGTGAGGAGTCTACTCTCGGTACCTGAGTCTTGAATGTGGAAAGAAGGCAATTGTAAAACTTCTGAGAATGAGGCACGGATAGAGTATACAAGAGAGAAAGACTAGAACAGGATACGGATATGAAACGGTGTCACCGGCAAAGATAGTAAATATGTATAGAACAGCTATAATAATTGGTTGTGAGGTTGAAGATCAAGAGTCGAGATCACTTCCAACCTAATTTCGAACAAAAAAGGGGTCGGAGGCACTACTTCAATATTTGGATACATCCAAGTGCATGACAGCACACAAAGGGAATTGTCGGGATACCTAAACACGGTGCAAAGAACGTAAACTGTATGTCACGTTTCTGCGGGGGGTTTTTTTTGCATCAGATTTTAATTGCGTATGCAGCTATCTAGCTATGACACAATATCAAAGAAAAGTACAGAAAAGATGACTCAATTTACAAGAGGAGCACTCATGCCTCAGATTTCATTTGCAAGTACCACTGCGAAGTTATGGCGGCTTTTTCTTCACCCCAAGTCAACCCTCATCCGTGAATACCCACCCAGGGGAACGTCTCAAAACCCCTAAGTTATCCAGACATGCCTCCGTCATCCATCAACTTTTATCCGCGCGATATGTGATCTGAGGCGTCTCCTTCCCAAGTGGAGTAGGTGCCCAGGCTACTCAAACCATACCGGAGAATACCACAAGGAGGCGGATCACAACACCTTCCATCGTTTGCTTGTGTTTATAGTGTTAGCTGCACTCTCGCAAGCGAAGTCTTGGCGCACACAAAGCTCAATTCGTAAAACTCTTGCCAAAATTCAAAATGACACGCCCATCGAGTTTGTATCCTTCCTTTGCATCATCTTGTGAACTTATTCTGATCCCTCTCACGTCTATCCCAAAGAACTATCTCCCAGATTTGTGCTCCACGCTTTGCTTCCTCTGTCGGGTATAAATATCGGCGTGGGCGTGTATTTGTTGGTCAACTGAGGCCAGAGAAAGTCGACGAGAGGTATGGTCATGGGGATGAGGATGTACTAGGTCGTACTTGTAGACCTGATGAAGCTTAGTTGAGAATCGGACTCTTTGGGAGTGAAAGGTTGACATGGTGGAGTAATTTGAATTTTTGCCTCGTGGGCCAACTTCTTTGATATCGAGAAATTTAACTGAACTTGGCTCTGGGAGAGATTTCACTCCCAGGTTCGTAGAGGACACCGCGTACAGGTGTTCAGTCTTGCCCTCCACGTTTCTGCGGTTGTGTTGGTGGATCTTGTCTATTCTCCTATTCTACAAAAAGATACTAATACTCATAATGAACGATGACTAATCTATGACTAACATTGGAAAGTGAGGTCAGGACATTTATACCAACAGGAACAAGACTAGGTGTTAGGCAAAGTTACACTGATGTGAATCTCTCTCAGAGTTGATTGAATTGATTGTCCTACACCATGAGGAATCTATTTAGGTACTATATACATATTAAGTATTCTACTAATTCCAAATATAGTCTGACTATTAGATTGCCCATGCGAACTGCTAAAATCTCCGTTCCATATGTGGCTCTAAAATTGGCTGCGATATCATCATGGGTAATAGAAGGAATGAAACAATAAGGGAGTTGTGCGTAAGAGATTAGCCATCCGTCTATTCGCTAGTTTCCACATTTACATGACTAAATTATTGCCCTTTATCCATCAGCCTTGTATATTTGCTTGTAAAGTACTTAACTTAAACATCGTGATCGATTGATTTAAATTCAAGTCTCTACTGTGTCCTAGACTGTGAAAGACTACTTAAAGATCTATCTATATATCTCTTTAATTTATAGGTTAATTTTTAATTTGAATATTACAATTATATGCAAGTTGATCCTGAGGGTCATGCCTTCATATAAACATCGTGATACTATATTTAAATTTAGGGTAATGTTTTTGACACTAGGATATATAATTGGAACATGAAAAGTTTAAATTGATGGGGAGAATGATGATATATAAGGAATGCAATCAGGTTATAAATTATGAAGGTGTCATAGCTAGATAGCTGAATACACTATGAATTTATAAAAAAGAGGTTGAAAATCGAGAGGGACTTCGGGCTGTTGGAGAGGAAGGAAGAATGGTATTCGAGCACAGGAGCAAGTGAACGGGGCTTTAGATGTAAAGCTGTGGAGTTGACGAGAGGAGCGATGAATATAGCCTTCAGAAATATTCAGTTAATACAATGAACTGAAGATCTCTGGAGGTAGGGGAGACTACATCTATATATAGGAATTAAACTTTGAATGACAAAATTTGGGGGATGGATGCGTAACGTGCCAGTGTCTCAACTTGACAACATTATCCAAATGACGTTTTAGCCTTGTGTTTTAGTGAACGCCCGCAACCAAGACAAGAAATAGACGTGACTACACCAAACATGGAATCTTGTTACAAGTGAATTAAGAGTTACTTGTAGTAGTGCAGAGACAGAGATCCTGCATCGGTACTAATGCAGAGCTGTTTTATTATAACAATTGTACCGCTAAATATACAGTTCGTAACAGGTTGAAGAAACAATTCTTCTGAAAATAAGATTGCCCTTGTGCATCTGCCTATACTCCGAAATTGTCATAGTCATGATGGGAGTTATGATTAGAACCTGCCATGGCCTAAGTTGAGTGCTTTGGATTATTGAGTTGCACTTAAAGAAGCTGGAGCCACCACAAAAAGTTCTGTAGCTTCCCAACTTGTGATATTCGTCAGACTTGTGTTGTCATATCAATCATAGTTCTATGTTTCTTAATCTACTCATACTAATCGCTAGCCTCTCATGTTCGCTTCTCGCCCTCCTGACCCTTATTTATATTATCTCTTATTTTAAAGATCTGAAACCTCGCTAGCTCAATTATCTCCAAGCATCGTAGTTACTACGAAGATGCCTTCGGTTGACAGCTATTCTTATTTGACGCTCTGCATGCCTTAGAATGTGTGATTTTCCAAACACTCCTCATCAGCTCTGGGAAAGGGATCGAAATATCCAAAATTGAACCTTATTAAGCGTAGCCGAACTTTTCTAGTAGTTCTAGAGGTTCTTCATGGTCTTAGACTCAGAAGGGACTGTAATAAAATTCTAATCACGTCTCATCCTATCTGAATCCGTGTGCAACAAACACGCCTTGGGACCTTGCCATATGAACAGCATCAGGAGAAACCTTCAAACATCCATCTATGTTGATTGACTTCACTCCACTGTTGACTAGCTCTTTGACAGTAATACCAGTGATTTCAGTATATGAGATATTAACTTTTTTTAGTCCTGGATATATTTTAACTATCTTGACAACATCATCATCATTTATAGGCGCTTGGGTGATTGATAGCTCTTCTAGTGTAGACGACGCTAGAAAAACATCGGATACGGAGGCCAATTGAGGAGGTGGGTATTGAGATCTACCGATACGCAAGATTTTGAGGTTATTGGCTCGGATGCTGCTATCGATTATTTGGAGTGCACTTACAATTTCAATATTGTTCGACTCGCATGAAAAGGTCTCTAGTAAAGGAAGTGAATAGATACCGTTGTTGTTGTTACTCCTGAAACATATTTGTAAATTATCATCGAGGATTAGGTGTTTTAACGTTGGTGGAAGTTTGGGCAAGCAAGTAAGTCTAGTTTCCGTGAGTTCTAACCTTTCTAATTTAGGCCAGAGCGTCAAATCTAGCCTTAAATTTTCGAATAAATTGCATTTATTAATAACAACGGAACTAATATTTGGTGCGGCTGCAATTAATCCTGACTGAGCAAAAAGTTAGTAGACATTTCTTTCAAATAATCATAGGCATAGATAATTTGACATGGCTTGATGTTATATTTAGATTCAAGGAATCTGTATGGGTCATTTCGAACAATTCAGACTCACCAACTCCATGTCACACAGGCCACAAAACGCCATGTGAATGCTGCTAAGGGCATTCATTTTTGGCCATGATTGTTTTGATACAACCTCAACTCCTATGACGCACAAAAATTTGGCTTCTATTAATGTCTTTTGACAAGCCTTAAATGATAAGATCATTGTAGATATAGTTACCCGAGTGCTTTCTGACAAGTGAAGTTTTTGAATACCTCCGGCTATGGCCAAGGAATTGGTTAATGCCTTTTCAATATACCCATAGCCGTATATCCTTAGGTCTCGCAGACCCCGACAGGTTTCCATAAGGTATTTCATCTTCCGCTCATGTGCAAATGATCTTAGATTGACTAGAGCGCGATTGACTGTAAAATTAGACCGTCTGAGATACGCTTGCAGAGCCCTTGATGCAATGGGTCGACGTGCATATCTTGTATCTATTGTAGTCCATAGGTACCTCATGGACTCTAGCAGGTTCTTCCAATCCTTACTCACAAGTAGGCAAGTACTATAAAAAATTAGTTGTAACAGGTTAATTAAGTTTGTAGGCTTACACTCGTTCACACATGTTTAACAACTTAAAAACTATCTCAACAATCTCCAAGGGAAGAACTCTAAGGGGATCATTACTATTTTGACAAGTTATTTGTAGTTTAAGCTTGTTGTACATTGATTTCAAGGTCTTTCATATAAGTAAGTTTCCTGATAATCTAGACTTTAACTCACAATTTTTCCCTTATCCTTGCCGATTGGAACTTTGGAAAGACCCCTTTCATATATTTTCATTGCTAGATGAGTTAGGCCCTTAAGACGTAATATTTTTCCCGTTCGAAGATAACCCTTAAACTCATCAGTTACTTAAGTAATTTCTAACCTGAAATGACCTGTGAAACTTGCCATGGAGGCTCTCGGCATAATCTTAATCATAGTCCTTCCGTCGTTGATAGCATGATCTAACTTGTTGAGTCTTTCATATGAAGCAGCGCGTCCATCAAGAGCACTAAGGTATTCTGGTCTTGATTTGAGATTTATCACCTAATCTTTTAATTAGCTCTGTGGGCTTAAGACGGATGACAATTCTGTTCCCCTTCTTTACAAACCTTAGTAAAGGCTTCCACAGCGCCAACGTAATCTTTTTTTTGATAACAGTTTACACCCTCTGTCAGAAATATGTTTTCTTTATTCTCACTAGCAATATCCATTTTGTTAACGCGAATTTTTCTGTTTTCATGTCGCGTCGAGAGTTGACAGCGAGAAATTATAGCGTTCGATGGGACGACATCTTCGTCACTGCCTCAACTAGAACCACACTAGATCTTTGTGCCTGTCGAGTGAGATGAAAGATGATTAATCATTTGTAACTGTTCAGTAGAAGCATTCTTATCCTGTAAATTAGTCATCAGATTGTTTAGGTACATGAATTTCGTGGGAGAAGAACCTTTGTTTTGCAATTATAATTAAACATCTAGGTATACTAAATTGTTGTCATTAAATCTGTCGTATTATCAACTTAAACTTAGAGTTTTCTCGGTCTGTAAAACACATACGCGTTATCAATCTAGAGTTGTGCGCATGGTTCTGGTCATTGACGTTGGGTGGGGGGGAGATGGAATTTTCAGGCCTGTTAGTACAGACCTTTTCGGTCTTTCATCTATCACTGTAGAATTTGCAGGACTGGGGTTGAGTGACACATGCGACTTCATCACGGTTAGGATTCCCAAATAATCCCGCGATCTGTATAGTCTTCGTCCTTTGGCATATCCCTCCCGCACAATTATCATGACACCAACCGATCAGATCAGATAGTAGGGTTGAAGCCTTGCATTTCATCCACTCTTATTCAGTAATTGGTCATAGATACGAAGCCAATCGAAAAATTTCAAGTGCAGACCAAGATCCCAATATGGAGATGATGGATGGGACCCATCAAGCCTTCTTTTTAAAGAAGGGTGACAAGAATAGATTTACATACCATATATGGCTCTAGTGTCTAGGCTCCACCTGGATTTAGATATATATACATTGAGAATTTCTCCAGCTCAGATAGTTCTCGTGTTACCAGAGTGACTATTCTCAACACTTGTTAGTAGTGTCTCCTACGAACCTCCACATCTCACTGTAGAGTCTGCAGAGCCGAGATTGAGTAGTAACAAAGTCCTCACTTCGATGAGGATTCCCAATCGCTATCGCGGTCTATATCGTCTTTATCTCTCAACCCCCCTGTCACCATTGTTATGAAGCCAACCTCGATCAGATCAGATGGTAGAGTCGGAGCTCTACTCATCACCAAACCTTGATCACGGAGGAAAAGCCATCCGATGAGTTTCCGGAGCGTACCTAGCACCCGATACGGCGATGGTGGATTGGATCAAGTCGGCCTCGACTGTTACGAAGAAAGAAGATATAGATGAATATGCGCACCTCGTGTGGTCCCGGTGTCTAGGCCTCACCTGGCTGGGGCTGCAGGTTTTTTGAGACTTTTTCCCGCGCACGCAGTTTCTATTACTCCCATTTTTTTTGGGTCGAAGGTTCGGTGGAAAAGATGGCCGAATTCCACGGGTAAACACTGAGCTGGATGGCTATTCATCACGGGCAATATATCAATGATCTTTCAAGAAACATGAGAGGCAAGGAGCACTACTGACAAGGTGTGGCCTGGGTCAGAGAGGAGCCCAAAGTGCTAGATAGTCTATGACTCAAGTAGCACAATAAAAAGCATCACTGATTTGAGTTTGATCTTGATTAAATTTAACGTCGTGACTGTCCACGTAAAAAGCATCACTGATCACTCTTTGGCCGCGCGTTGCGACGTGATGTCGCGGAGCGAGAGAGTTTGCAAGATGGATGTCACGGCACAAGATAGAAACAAGACAGTTAAGATATAATATGGCCAAGATAGGATGTGGAGAGGATACAGAAATCTAGCAAAATATCGCACGTTTTAAAATAAGATTCTTGTATACGAGTGGTACGTAAGAACTGGAAGTAGAATTGATAAAGTATTGAGTTAATCTATCGTGTATGATTCTCGCTGTCGCAGCTTCCTTTGATGCTGCACCCATACTCCTATTAATATGTGTCTGCCAGCCTCGTCTATGCGCTAATACGGAACTACTAATGAGGTTCCGAGCGCGCGGTGTATACTTAGTATACAATGGGTGTGGGTGTAAGATTGGGATGATATCACGTGGTGTCTCGTGGCTCCTAACTACAACGGATCTTGTGAAGAGCTTAAGACTAATACGTGAATTCTATATCCTTCAAGTGTCGGATGTCTATGTGTCTATATACATTGATTACTCCTTACCCCTCAACGCTAGTAGATTTACTGCTGTGGTCGCGGGCTGTGACCGCGGGCTCTGACAGTGCGATTTGCTGCGCGTGAGGTCATAGAATAATTACGATTACGTGTGTGTGCCGTGTTTCCCACATCTAGCTAATTCGTGCCCTGTAGATCTATCCGGGAAGGAGGGCAAGACTGAACACCTGTACGCGGTGTCCTCTACGAACCTGGGGGTGAAATATTCTCCCAGAGCCAAGTTCAGTCAAATTTCGCAATATCTAAGAAGTTGGCCCACGAGGCAAAAATCCAAATTACTCCTCCACGTCGTTATTTCGCTCCCAACGAGTTTGACCCCTATCTTTGTCTCATCGAGTCTACAAGTACGACCAAGTACATCCTCATTCCAATGACCACACCACTCTTCGACCTTCTCTGGCCTCAGCTGGTCACCAAATACACGCCCACGCCGATATTTATACCCGACGGAGGAAGCAAAGCGTGGCGCACAAATCTGGGAAACAGTTCTTTGGGATGGACGTGAGAGGAATCAGGACAAGTTTACAAGATGATGCGGAGGAAGGATATAACTTCGAAGGGCGTGAGATTCCGAATTTTGGCAAGGAGTTTTACGAATTGAGCTTTGTGCGCGCCAAGACTTCGCTTGCGAGAGTGCAGCTGACACTATAAAAACAAGCCAACGATGGAAGGTGTTGTGATCCGCCTCCTGGTGATGTTCTCTGGTATAGTTTGAGTAGCCTGGGCACCTACTCCACTTGGGAAGGAGACATCTCAGATCATATTTCGCGCGGAGAGAAGTTGAAAGATGATGGAGGCATGTCTGGATAACTCAGGGTTTTTGAGACGTTCCCTTGGGTGGGTATTCACGGATGAGGGTTGACTTGGGGTGAAGAAAAAGCCGCCATAACTTCGCAGTGGTACTTGCAAATGAAATCCGAGGCATGAGTGCTCTTCCTTTACGTTGAATCATCTATTCTGTACTTTTCTTTGATATTGTGTCATAGCTAGATAGCTGCATACGCAATTAAAATCTGATGCAAAAAAAAATTAAAAAAAAAAAAAGATCTATCCGGGATCCACACTAATACAGGGTATCTAAGATCTGCAAACGCCTTACCCTATAAACTCCTAAGTAAGTAATAAATATAACCATAACTCCTTTATGTTCAGGTACAGGAATGATTATGTTTGACCAACTATCTTATAATTCAACAGCACGCCTTGTAAATACTTGAACAAGGACTAGCTTGAAGGTCTCTGACTAATTCGATACTAATGTCAATAATAACACCAGTCCTCTCCATTCATGTGCAGTTGTGTTACTATGACAACTTGTCATGTAGAGACATGATCTATTCTTGGGTTGATATTGTTCAAATGATCATGACTATACCACACCATGATGTATAAACATAATTCATCATTTGTACTTGTTATATCATCATGACTATGTCTTAATGATAAGAGAAACATCATTGAATAGTTGCTAGAAACCTAGTCAAAATCTTAAACATAGAAATGAGGCTAGGAGAATTTTAATGAGCAAGTTACTATTCTAATGAATCTAATTCTGGAGGAATATAATCTGGTTGCTTGGCTTAAGATATGTGAACCTGAGCATGTCGTGTATAATAAAATATACAGAAATCTATCTCAATCACAATCATCATCTGAATTCATGTCACCACCGATAGCTGTTAGAAAATATACTCTGTACAATACTATATGGATATATACGATCAAATACAGAAGAGTTAATGTTTTATAACTGTGGGAACATTAGATGTATATTCACGGATAAGGATTGGCTTGGGGTGAAGAAAAAGCCGCCATAACTTCGCAGTGGTACTTGCAAATGAAATCTGAGGCATGAGTGCTCTTCTTGTACATTGAGTTACCTATTATGCACTTCTCTGATATTGTGTCATAGATACCTAGCTGCATGTTCAATTAAAATCTGATGCAAAAAATAATAAAAAGAAAGAGACACCCACGATAAATATTGAGGAAGATATGGTTAGAAGACTGTACTGCTGGTAAATGCCTGAAGCTTATTATGTATATTGTTGTGCTACAAAGTTCTACACCTACGATACACTCTATAGACCCTAGTTTAGACCAGCTTACAAATCAAGTCACAAGTATTCTAGGGCTCAGTGACTGATACTTCAACAATAAATTATTTCAATCATAAACTGGCTAACCAGAACTCACACTTGTATTATGATGATAATTGGATTATGGCGCCAAAACTGATGATGTCTCGTAATTGAAGGCTCATTGATGGAGCAGGTCCTAACAGTGTGACGTCTATATAATAGATACATGGAAATCATGAGAATCAATCGTCATCACAATCTGCGGTGCTAGCACATCAAAATACCTAGCTGTTTGGCAGTATCCATAGACCAAAATTTCATGCGCAAAAACTTATCAGTCTCATCTAATGAGAACAAGATAGATGTCAAAGTAGCATGTTGACAGCGTGCTAAAAAGAAGGCCCAATGACAAGGATTTTAGACAAAAATTTTATCAAACTATGGATAGTTTGGAGCGACCAATGTTAGATGTAGAGTTTTCTGTGATAGGTTTACAAAGCTTGGAGTTGCTTGTTTCGGAAAAAAGTGTTTCGCTTGGGTTAAAGCAGTAAGAACTCTAAATCTTCTGACTAGAGATATTTCGCTCTAAACCATGAGAAACTTGACTGATGGGGACAAGTTGGGGCCAGATAGAAAATTGCCATTTCTGAACACTCACAATCTAGATAGTAAGAGAAAGAGAGAGTGCAGCCAGGAATGAATTGATACCTTTGTACATCTTACATTATTCATTTGACTCGTAGAGTCTAACAAAGTTGCCTTCCCAGTCTGAACATGAAATAGATGCAAAACCACTCTGCCA